GGCGCGGTAAGAGTTGGTGTGCGGCGTCGGTTAATCTCTTGCTCGACCACGTCCAAGAGATATTGCCTCTTGGCAAAAACGGCTGGGCTAAAGTTGAGCTCGAATACAGCAAGGCTGGTAGCGCATACCCACAACGCGATGGTGAGTCTCTTAAGCGCAAGTACCAGCAGCTTCGCAACAATCCTAAACCAACCGGGAACCCCGAGTGTCCGTCTGATGTTCGACGGGCCAAACAAATTGCGCGTGATATTGATACCAAGGCAGACGTCCTCCCACTTGGAGATGAGTGCGAGGAGGACGACGACGAAGCACCATGCACGCCGACACCATTTACCCCAACAAAGGGTATGTGGCATTTGAAACTGTGAATTCACGTATATTATGTAGATGATGAGACCTCTGACGAACTTGGGAAGCCGAACCGAACTGGACTTGCCAGAAGTGAATTGGTTGACCTTGGAGCCTCCCTCAAGATAGCACGTGCTTGTGACAGTACTGGGCAACTTTCCTACGTGGCGAAGAAGAGATTGTCAATCGACAAGTTCATTGAAAATGCTGCGGCGGCAGATACCAAAGCGACAACGGACTTCATGTCTATGATGGCTGCGATGGATGAACGTGCCGCAATTCGTGAAGAGTTGAGGCTGGGACGTGAAGAAACTTGGCGTAGAGAGCAACTCACCCGGGAGTTTAAAGCTGATGCCGAGCGTCGGGACAGAGATGAGCGCCGCGAGCAGTTTCAACTTATGTTGATGTCAAAGCTCTTCGACAAGAAATAAAGCAATCTGCATATATATATTGTTTTAGACATCAGTAGATACAAGTTGTTTTGCATATATTTGGTTTTTTGAAGGGAGCCTGTCGCCTGAATTAGTCAAAACCCATCCTACTTTTATGTATTTAGGGTAGTTTAAGTTTGAATCAGGCTATTCAGCCGTCGTTTCATATATTTTGCAGAAACACATAAAAATACTAATTAGCGTATGAGTTCTTCAAATTCATGTGTGGCAACCCCCTACGACTTTTCAATTTAGGTTCAACTAGACTGATATTTGGGAAGTTGCAAGATGTTAAATATACTATTTTAGACTCCGAAAACATTCTTAATTTGACTTATACCACAACGACGTACTCGAAAGTTGTAAAGTCTAAATATGTTTTCCAGTCGCACTGAGCGCAACGCAGGATTGTACGGTAGTGGAAGCAGCAGATGACGATACATTTTTGTCGCTGAGCCCATCCCCCACTCAGCGGCTTGCCGTAAGGATGTTATACAGTCGCTTATGGTTTGCATCGCGAGGCGACAGTTCGCAGGTTGGCGTTCCAGGTCGCCTTCCTTGAGAGGCGTGATGATTCTACCAGCACATCGGCCACCCACAGGGAAGGCAGAGTCCGACGCAACCTTCATTCCAGGCCCAACCTTTGTGTCGTCAGCCAGGATGTCCTGGAGCCCACGGCTCATCTCGCCATCGTTCCAAGATCCAGGGCAGTTATGTCGTCCCCATATCAATGTCCCGTCCAGACCGTAGCATAGTACACCAGTCACGAACACACAATGGAGCCAGCCTACAAGAAACTATGAGGATTAAATGTACAACTTGCCATGTACCATACCGTTAAACTGTACAACTTGCCATGTACCATACCGTTAAACTGTGCATTCTGGAGGTCGACGTTGGATGGCTCTTGCACACGCAGATCCTTGCCGTCGACAAAGCCGAATACACCTTGCACCAGCGGTTCACGCTCGTTTGCTTTGGAGGCCCAATGAGCTTGCCCTGACTTCGATGGCCATCGGATTAACGCGTCAGGTATACGCCTCAGCGTCCGCGCGAGGGCTTCTTCGGCACGACGAAGCACTCGACAAAACGTGCTCGGGGCCAGGCCAAAGAGCTCGTGTAACGTCTTGCCTTCCACAACCGCTGTGTAAAAGTGCAGTAGCATCGCTAGTACAGCGTGCTTCTTTGGTATGCGAGGAGGGCGGCCACTATTAATTTCAGCTTTTTTTCAAAATATTTCCACCAACAAGGGATATATTTCACCTGACCCCCATGTTAATTCACCCAACGTCGTCGATCTGGCGAGCATCGGCAACGTATGCTGGGACCAGAAGTCCGGCC